TTTTCTCATTGCATAGCAACCAGTACTCTAAAATTTCTTGTTTTTGATTTAGAAATATTAGGGATTATAGCCTTCTTTCTTCTCCTAAATCCAAATGGATAAAATATCAGTTTACAATGTAGTTTGTCGATTACAACCTGCTTATTAATACAGTTGAGCACACTCTGGGAGGTCCCCTGAGAATGAAGTCTCTCAGTTTTACTGCATACAATCCTTTCAGGTGGTGGGCCATGCTCTGTTCTTGGATGAACTTTACTATCATTCTAAATTTACTCCATGGTCTTACCTACTGTTTTAGATATGAGTTAAGGCAGTATTCTTCAATCTTTTTTTTCCACTATTGCCTCTAAAAGGTGCTTTTTTGCTTTTGTAGATATTATATTCCCTTAATAACCTTCCCATCTAAAATAATCGTACCATAAATATACTATCTATTCATGTGCTTTATGTACATCTATGTGTTTTATATATATATATATATACACATATATATATATATAGTAAAGAATGATCATCCCCTAAGAAACTACTTTTTTCTCATTGATAAAAGATATTATCCCCATTTCAAACACGTTTTTAAATAATCTACTTTAAAAAAGTAATAGCATGTGTGATTATATTTCTATCAAAGTGAAATCCTAGGTGGGATTTACACAACTACACAAATATGTATCTAATTCTTCTCTCCTGTATCACACTCTTATAAAATGCCTTTTTAAAAATTTTCACCATTACTAACAAAATGATACTTTTCATTTATTTGTTTACTTGCTTATTATCCATCTATTCCCCCACTGGAATTTTACTTCCACGTAAACAGAGCCTTTGTTTGTATCATTCAGCGGTGTATATGGAGCTCCCATAACTCTCTGGCACATTGCATTCACTGAACATTACTTTTTCCATTAATTAAAGAAGTCAAATTTTCCCAAGCTCCTTTTTTTATCAGCAATATGTGTTAACACTATGAAACCCTTTTTTTTTCAATAATAAATGCTAACACTACAGTATAATAATGGAAGCATTCCAACAGAAACAGCACCTATTTAGCTCTTCAAGGTTCTACCTCATGCCCAAACCAAGTATCAGTTTCCTCAGTGACTGAGGTGCTCTACTTTCTCCTAAACATCTCTTTCACCCACGTGTCGCTTCCTGTGAAATACGGAAACTGAACTTTATTTCCTGATCCGATTACGTCCCTCTTTTCATGACATCCCTGAAGGGGAACATAGCTGCAGAAAAGAGATCATCAGGTGGTTTGCTTCACACAAGATCACCCCAAAACCTGCAAATAACTTAGGGAATGGAGCTCAGCAGAGAGATGAAGAGAAGAAAGCCCCGCCATCCAAAAAACTAAACAGAAAAGGGAAGAATACCTCAAAGACAAACTTCACGGTGTGACCACGGGCATAGATTAGCACTGTGGGTATCCCCACTCTTTGAAAGTTCACCTCAGCCACATGGCTTTTATGAAGGCCTACATTAGTACTTATTATAGCTAAATTTTTTTTTAATCCAAAGGGGATTTTTCATTTTACTTAAAAAAATCATATTAATATTACAGAGCTATTAAAAATATTTTTTCCATTTTCTAATAGAATAACAGTTAATTTGCAACATTGTGTTAGATTCCATTGCTGAACAAAGTGATTCAGTTATATATATATATACATTTTTTCAGATTCATTTCCATTGCAAGTAAACTTTGCCATAGTAATGTTTGTCTTTTGTAATAGTGAAGTGGCATAACTTGAACTTTCATGAAACGAATAAGCTTTTACTGCTGAAATACACTGCTACATGTGAGACAAGTCTGCAACATATTTGACACCATCTTCATTTTTTATATTATTTTAAAATTAATTTATTTATTTGAATTGGAGGCTAATTACTTTACAATATTGTAGTGGCTTTTGCCATACCTTGACATGAATCAGCCATGGGTGTACATGTGTTCCGCATCCTGAACCCCCTCCCACCTCCCTCCCTACCCCATCCCTCTGGGTCATCCCAGTGCACCAGTTCTGAGCACCCTGTCTCATGCATAAGCCTGGACTGGTGATCTGTTTCACATATGATAATATACATGTTTCAATGCTATTTTCTCAAATCTTCCCACCCTCGCCTTCTCCCACAAGGTCCAAAAGACTGTTCTATACATCTGTATCTCTTTTACTGTCTCGCATATAGATAGGGTCATCATTACCATCTTTCTAAATTCCATATATATGTGTTAGTATACTGTATTGGTGTTTTTCTTTCTGTCTAACTTCACTCTGTATAATAGGCTCCAGTTTCATCCACCTCATTAGAACTAATTCAAATACATTCTTTATAATGGCTGAGTAATATTCCATCGTGTATATGTACCACTGCTTTCTTACCCATTCATCTAATGATGGACATCTAGGTTGCTTCCATGTCCTGGCTATTGTAAACAGTGCTGCGATAAACATTGCGATACATATGTCTCTTTCAATTCTGGTTTCCTCGGTGTGTATGCCCAGCAGTGGGATTGCTAGGTCATATGGCAGGTCTATTTCCAGTTTTTTAAGGAATCTCCACACTGTTCTCCATAACGGCTATACTAGTCTGCATTCTCACCAACAATGTAAGAGGGTTCCCTTTTCTCCACACCCTCTCCAGCATTTATTGCTTGTAGACTTTTGGATAGCAGCCATTCTGACTGGCATGAAATGGTACCTCATTGTGGTTTTGATTTGCATTTCTCTGATAATGAGTGATGTTGAGCATCTTTTCATGTGTTTGTTAGCCATTTGTATGTCTTCTTTGGAGAAATATATGCTTAGTTCTTTGGCCCATTTTTTGATTGGGTTGTTTATTTTTCTGGAATTAATCTGCAGGAGCTGCCTGTATATATTTTTGAGATTAATTCTTTGTCAGTTGCTTCGTTTGCTATGATTTTCCCCCATTTTGAAGGCTTTTCACCTTGCTTATAGTTTTCTTTGTTGTGCAAAAGCTTTTAAGTTTAATTAGGTCCCATTTGTTTATTTTTGCTTTTATTTCCATTACTCTGAGAGGTGGGTCATAGAGGATCCTGCTGTGATTTATGTCAGAGAGTGTTTTGCCTATGTTTTCCTCTAGGAGTTTTATAGTTTCTGGTCTTACGTTTAGATCTTTAATCCATTTTGAGTTTATTTTTATATTTGACACCATCTTCTTAAAGGACAAAGTGGATCATCAAGACTGCAGATAAATTTATCTATACACCTGGTGTGCTGCAATCCATGGGGTCATACAGTCAGACACAACTGAGCGACTGAACTGAACTGAACTGATACACCTAAACACACCACAGACAACCCTGTCTCATTTGAAAGCAGTAAGACTGGGTTTTAAGGACCTGGATTGGAAGCTTGTAGCTGAAACTTTTGAAAGGGTGATACACTCCAGTGTAATAGTTCCTGACACATTAATGGAGGAAGGGCATGCGAGGTGAGACAAGCAAATTAGTAAACCTCTCGGCTTCAATTTGCTTCTGTAAAATGGGCAGAATAGGGCTTCCAGGTGGCTCAGTGCTAAAGAATTGACTTGTCAATGCAGGAGACGCAGGTTCAATCTCTGGGTCAGGAAGATCTTTGGAGAAGGGAATGGCTACCCACTCCAGTATCCTTGCCTGGGAAATCCCACGGACAGAGAAGCCTGGTGGGCTGCAGTCCATGGGGTTGCAAAAGAGCTGGACATGATTTAACAACTAAACAAAAGCAACAAAATGGGGTTAATGATAATGGAACCACCAGCTTAGTACATGACGAAATCAGCTGAAACAAAGATGCTTGACAGATAATATTAATAAAAGTTTCAATTAATGTAAATATATGTATCAGATGTATAGATCTAGATCTTTGGGATTTACCCATACGATTTTCTATTGAAATTTAATAAAAGATGCTTACCCTTCTAGTTTCAAATGGCTCCTCAAGTCTTGAGACATAAAAAGAAACATTTCCTTTATGTTCAAGAAAAGCTATGTTATGAAGATATTTTATAAAATAAGAGCAAATAAAGAATAATTTCAAAGTTTCTGGTTTAATTTTTGTGCCAAAAAAAAGAAATAGTTTGTGAGTTATTATTATGTCTTTTTCTAGGTGTTTCCTCTTGCTGATTTTGGAAAATTAATAGAAAATTCAACCCTGATTCTTAAACTTCCCCAACTCTCCCTGCCATGCACATATCTAAGTATATCTGTTCCTTACTGGCTGGACCACACGCTATGCAAAAACAAGGTTTCTGACATGAAGGTCATATGAAAAAAATCAATTTCATCCAAGTAACTTATATGAATAATCTTTAAAAATTAATAATAACACACTGGAAGAATATACTCTACAATAAATAAACTAGGGGCTTATTGTTGATATTCTTCCCATTGGCTATTCTGAAACTGAGTACGAATATACAAGTCTTGTAAAGTATTTTTAAAAGTTGTCAAAATGCTTATTTTCTAGGCCATTTTTGTCAATAATCTGCAAAATTTGCTAATTTACTTTCACAATTTGCAGCATGTATAATCCTCCCTATATATGTATATAATCATCACTTTCTTGGTATCATGAACAGCCTAAGTTACTCTCTTCTTCATCAGACTCCTCATGGCATTTTTCACCTCTGTGTTTCTCACTGTGTAAATAATAGGGTTTAACATGGGTGTGAGGATTGCGGAGAACACAGCCACCCACTTGTCCACTGGGTTCGTGGCCACAGGACGCGTGTAGGTGAACACAGAAGGCAGAAAGAAGAGCACCACTACGGTACAGTGGGCACCACAGGTAGAGAGGGCTCTCCGCCGCCCTTCAGAGCCATGGGATTTCAGGGGGCTCAGGACGGCTGTGTAGGAGATGAGCAGGATGGAAAAAATGAGCAAGCACATGCCCCACTGTTGGCTGCCACCGCCATTCCCAGCCTGTAGGTGTCGCTGCAGGCAAGTTCCAACAGTGAGAAGAAATCACACGTGAAGTGGTCAATGACGTTGGGACCACAGAAGGTCAAGTCCATGGTGAAAAGAATCTGCACGGTGGCATGCAGGATCCCCCCAATCCAGGCCGCCACCACCAGGAGCTGGCAGAGCCCCTGTCGCATGATGGCCGTGTAGTGCAGAGGCTTGCAGATGGCCACGTAGCGGTCGTAGGCCATGACCGTGAGGACGATGACCTCTGATGCTGCCAGGAAGTGCTCCAAAAAGATCTGAGTCAGGCATCCTCGCCAGGAGATGGTTCTCCTTTGGAACAGCAGGTCAATGATCAATCTAGGCGTGGTGACTGAGGTGAAGGAGGCATCTAATAAAGCCAAGAAAGTGAGGAATAAGTACATGCGAGCAGAAAGCGTGGGGCTGAGGGAGACGGTGATGACAATGAGCAGGTTGGACAGAACAGTGAATAAAAAAATGAACAGAAAGACAATGAAGAGGATTTTCTGCAAGTGTGGATTCTGTGTGAGTCCCAGGAGAACAAACGCAGTCACATTGTTGGGAGGCCTGAGGACATCCATTCAGCAAGGAACAGCTTCCTGGGGCCTGACTTACCTACAAAGGAACAAAGAATCATACTCGTTAATCACCACAGAATTGTGTTCTGACTTTTACAACAAAATAGTGCAATCACTGTAACTGTGAAGTATGCCCTTGATACTTTGTCCCAGTACTGTTTCAATTTTTCCTTATTTCCTCCATAAAGCTTTCCATCTCTTCAGATACCTAGCACCAGTCACCTGTAAACCATCTGTAGGGCAAATCTGATGTGTAATTTACTGAAAAAACTCTGCACTGTCTACCTGAGGTCTGAATTCTCCTTCTTGTTCTGACCCCATTGGACTTTGCTGCATCATCTCAGTTCTTCAGGCCCTTCACTGTGTCCGTGAGATTACAAATCGTAATTCTCAGATGCATTTTACAGGCTAAGAACTCCTGTACACACATAAGAGCTATTCCCTTTTCCGTGATGGAATTTCAGTTTGACATCTCGACTCCTAACTTTGGAAAGAAACAACGTGATCAAGAAATCAGGGAGTTTAGGGAAATAGATAGAAGTCCTTGGTGAAACATCCCCTCTGGTACCTATCAGAACACATAAACTACTCAGCTGTGTTTCCTCACTGTCCCACTAGAGTGCATGGAATAATGTCCGCAGTGCCTGAAACTGATCAGGTGATGAGTAACTGTTTGGTATTAAATTGTCATTCTCCAAAAAAGTAAAGATATGCTTGCTTCACCGAAGCATAAACTCAACAGAAGTTCAAATGCCCTTGTCCTCCAGCCCTGTCGCTCTATAATCTCTTTACTGTATGAGAAATTGGAAGGGAAGCTGCACTTCAGTTTAAGAGTTTCTGTATCATGCATCGAACCTGATCTAAAATAAATAAACTAATTAATAAAAAAAAGAGTTTCTGAACACTCTCCAGAATAAGCATGAAAATATTTAAATGTCTCTAGAAAAGTGCATGTTATGGATCATTTTACTTTAAAGATAATTTGTGTATATGTTAATTGATTATTTTATTTTTCAAAATTCTGCTCCACATATAACCTAATATACCTATTCTGCATATTCATTGCTTCAGTGTGTGTGTGTGTGTGTGTGTTAGTTGCTCAGTTGTGTCCGACTCTTTGCAACCCCACGGACTGTAACCTGCCAGACCTCAGGCTCCTCTGTCCATGATAGTCTCCAGGCAAGAATACTAAAGTGAGTCGCCATCTCCTTCTCCAGGGGATCTTCCCAAACGAGGGACTGAACCCAGATCTCCTGCATTGCAAGAAGATTCTTTACCAATTGAGCCACCAGAGAAACCCACAACTTCAGCAGTTTTAGTTAGAAAAAGAAACTCAATTCATATAGGTGTTCAACACACAAAGATCTTTCAAGTAAAGGAAATACTTACTTTCAAGTTCTGTAAATAAAAATTTAATATGAAGAACAGGAATAATTTGCTAGAGAGACAGGTAATGCACCATACATATAAGTGTATATGCACCGACTACCACAAACACATATAAAATCCATTACTTGCTATTTATTCCTACAAGTTCACTCAGTCAACAAACATTTACTGGACATTTACTGTGTATATTAATGTATGCTTATTCATACAAAGTCATAATGGTGCTGCTCTTAAATGCCCTTAGTTCCTGACCTTCCATTACCAAACAGCAGCGGCTCACCCATCCATAGTAGGGGCGACCTTCCCAGTCCTTTACGTTTCTGCTACATGTGTTCTCACGCCTTCTTCTACCGTCTTCCAACAGCACCCATCATTCCTGCTTGCAAGATAGTGCATGGCTAACACAACAAGAAATTTGCGGTTTAAATTTGCCAAGGAGAAGAGAAATAGATGCAATTAAATATATTTCATAAAGCATATCTTTTCAAAGATAAATGAATAAAAAACTGTATTTTTAATTATCTAAGATGAAACATTTATGCATATGTGGAAACAAAGTGCACCGCTGTCACAGCCTTTCCTCTTTCTTTAGCAGGATCCCCCAGCAGATAAAGAGGCTAGTGTAAATAAAGTAAGAATTAAACATAGTTTATGAAAGTATTTTAGAACACCTATGAAAAAATATAAATTACTTTTTTTTTCATTTTTTCTTTGGCTCTGCGATACTTATTTTAGGAATAAACCCTAATGTAAAATATTTTTAAAAGAGAAAAATCACTATGTACAAATTTGTCCAATACTATTAATAAGAACTGTGGAAAATTTAGAAACAGCATGGAATGTTCAACACTGGGGAATAAGATAATTAAAATTCCTTTTAATTCTACATCTCTTTGAATAACATATAGTACATCTTTTTGAATAATATATACTTTTTAAGAGTGATGCTTTTAAAAATTGTGCAATGTCATAAAAATTCTAAAGTTGTAATATTAAGTGAGGGAAATTTTGGATGCATATTTGACTTGCAAATTTATTCTAACGTATGTAATTGCAGCTAATTGTATTATTAATTCAACTAATTTAAATATATGAAAGGAGAAAGTGTTAGTCACTCCATCATGTCCAACTCTTTGCAACCCCATGGACTGTAGCCTTCCAGGCTCTTCTGCCCATGGAATTCTCCAGGCAAGAATACTGGAATGGATAGCCATTCTCTTCTGCAGGGGATGTTCCCTACTCAGGCATCGCACTCACGTCTCCTCCATTGGCAGGCAGATTCTTTACCATCTGAGCACCAGGGAAGCACATTTAAATATATATCAATAAGAAATAAACGACCCCAAAATATCCTTAGTTCTAAATTGGTAGTACTATAGCTGAGTCTACCTTGTTATTTTGTATGCTGAAGAAGGGATTTAAATCTAAGGTAAGTTTGGATAAGGGTTGATTGTATGATTTGTAATATGTATTTAAACCTGAGAATGTATGATTACATGATTTCTAAAAAAATAATCTCACCTATGAAAGTGTCTGACATACCTCCATGGCTAGGCCCCAGGTAGTTGCTCAGGAAAGAAGTAAAACCCATAAGATAAAAATGTCAACTAAGTCAGCTGCAGTAAGTGTCTCTTGATTTATAAATCGTAACTTTGTAGAAGCCTTAAAGCACTGCCATATATCCTATTGGTTGGCAAAATCTATGAAATTTCTTCGCTGTGACTAATTGGAACTCATGGGTATTCCCCTATCATTAACAGGTCTTGCCAAAAAACCAATTATTTCAAATAAGGTGACAACATCAGAGGAACTTTTACAGTGTTCCTCTCTAATTTTAAACTACATCCGTAAGTCAATATGAAAACAAAACATCATCTCAAAAGAGAAAAAGTTGACCACTTATAAACTTGGATTGTGTGTGTGTGTGTGTGTGTGTGTGTGTGTGTGTGTGTTCAGTGGTGTCCGAGTCTTTGTGATCCCCATGGACTATAGCCTGCCAGGGACCAAAACTGTATCGCTTGCATCTCCTTCATTGTCAGGAAAATTCTTTACTACGGGGTCACCTGGGAAGCCATAAACTGGATATTTCATAATAAATGAGCTTAAATGTGGAGTCTGAATATTTGATACCATATAAATTAAACACTTAGATGTGTGTTTTATTTTTAATTTTTATGTTGATATTTTATTTTTAATTGATCTATGTTAATCACAATTTATAAATATTGTTTCCATATGTATGTTAAGTGATAATTATAAACCCCTTTGTAATATTAGCACTTCATAATAGAAAACGTTTATAGTACTTCCTCAAAATGCTTATTTATTGTGCCAATTCTGTAATTAGATTAACATGTTTATGATGAGAGTAATTCCATTCTTCAGTTATATTAAAAATGGTAAAATGCATTTTACATTTAAATTTAGTCCTGTAATATCTTTATGGAATATTAAAAATGAGCAATGACATACACAGTTTATAACAAGGAAGCATGAAAAAGTGAATAGGGACACCATTTACCAAGGGAAGGTGAAGAATCACATCATTAAATCTTGGGTCAGGACTTTTGTCTTTAAATTATGTTTTACAACTAAACAGGCATGACATGTTTATGCTACCATCAACTTTAAGACTCTGCAATTATCTATGAAAAGAAATAAATACCGAAGTTTGAAATTATTTTGTAAATACATTGAATTCAATTCAACTGAATTCAATGTATTGATATTCCTATATATATAGCTACACTTACTCAAAATATTCAAATATGCTTTCTTTAAAAAGAAACATAAATTGGACATAACTGTGGATGGGTTCTGGAGAATATAATCACTGTGAGCAGCATGCATCATGAAGGAAAAGTGATTATGAGAACTGAAATCATGTGACTAAATCTATTAATAGTTTGGCTGCATATTTTATGATTATGGTTTTGCAATAATATTTGTGAAGGCAGGTGCCAAAAACAGTTTGAATGAGGATTTGAACCTATTTAAAGAACTATGATAAATATGGATTTTGCTGAAATATTATGAAAGTATCTTGAGCTCTTCTTTCAGCTCTGAAATTAAAGCGTGAGATTAGAGAATTAGCATGTACTGAAAAAGTCATCATTCTTAACCTCATAAGAGACTGAAATCTACTCACTATGGTCCATTAAGGGGTCACCCAGTTTCCACTTAAATAGCTAACATACTGGGCAAAGAGATTGCCTTAGAACCCCTACGTCTGTTGAGCCCAGCTCCAAAAGCCCTAGAGAAGCATAAAACGGAAAGAGTGGAAAGTGAAAGTGTTAGACACTCAGGCATGTCTGATTCTTTACAGCCCCATGAACTGTAGTCCCCAGGCTGCTCTGTTTATGGAATTCTCCAGGCAAAAATACTGAAGTGGGTTATCATTCCCTTTTCCAGGGGATCTTCCTGACCCAGGGATCAAACTCAGGTCTCCCACACTGCAAGCAGATTCTTTACCATCTGAGTCACATGGAATTAGGTCTAAATCAGTGAAGATTGCCCATGAAAATAATTTTTCAAAAGAATAGTTTTTGGAGCTATACCAGAAAAGTTTGTCTCCAGAATACAAATCCAAAAACAGTGGTTTAAACGCCTGGTGAGATAGCAACACAGATTCTCAAACTTGAAGGGTAAACTAGGATGAAAACAAAAAATGTTATGTATGGATCATATCATAGTTCATCAGAAAATAGTTGAGGTATGTTTTGACGTTTGATAGTTTCAGGGACTAATTTTACAAAACCCAGTACCTACCAAAATAATCTTATGGGTAACTTCATGCATTTCAATAGATAGAGAAACATGTTCTCAAAACACTAAAGCACTCACAACAGAGCTCACGTTGTATTGTTGTTGTTCAGTCACTAAATCGTGTCCGACTCTTTGTGACCCCATGGTGTTAGCCCAAACTGAAATCCTTTGATCCCAGAAGGGCATCTAAGTTGTTTACCAGAAATTGAAAAGTTCTGGGCTGTGTTTTCATAAATCTTTCAATGTTTCTTCAAATTGAAGTAGAAGCAAATATGACAATATGCAAATATGACAATATTTGCTGAGCACTGAAGAACTGATGCTTTTGAACTGTGGTGTTGGAGAAGACTCTTGAGAGTCCCTTGGACTGCAAGGAGATCCAACCAGTCCATCCTAAAGTAGATCAGTCCTGGGTGTTCATTGGAAGGACTGATGCTGAAGCTGAAACTCCAATACTTTGGCCACCTGATGCGAAGCCGAAGAGCTGACTCATTGGAAAAGACCCTGATGCTGGGAAAGATTGAGGGCAGGAGGAGAAGGGGAGGACAGAGGATGAGGTGGTTGGATGGTATCACCAACTCGATGGACATGAGTTTGGGTAAACTCCGGGAGTTGGTGATGGACAGGGAGGCCTGGCGTGCTGTGGTTCATGGGGTCGCAAAGAGTCGGACACGACTGAGCGACTGAACCGAACTGAACTGAACTGAATGACATTTTTTAACTCTCATCCTCCAGCCCTTGGAAATCAACATTCTTCTCTCTGCATCTGAGTTTGTTGTTGTTGTTGTTGTTGTTTTTAGTTTCACGTAAAGTGAGATCATAGAGTATTTGTCTTTCTATTTCTGCTTATTTCACTTGGCATAGTGCCATTAAAGTTCCTTTATGTTTTCACAAATTTCAGAATTCCCTTCTTTTATATTGCTAAATGAAAGTCTTTTATATATATACATGTATATATATATCATATTTCTTTTATCCATTCTTTTTTTTTTGAGGGGGGCAAGAATACTGGAGTGAGTTCCCATTCCCTTCTCCAGGAAAAGCATCCCAACTCAGAGATCGAACCCGGTGTCCCGCATTGTAGGCAGACACTTTACCATCTGAGCCACCAGGGAAGTCTATATATAAATATATATATGTATATATATATATATTTATATCTCATATTTCTTTTATCCATTCATCTTTCAATGTTCACTTAGTTGTATCCAGATCTTGGCTATTGTGAATAATGCTGCAATGAACATGGGAGTAGAGATGACCTTTCAGATTCCTGATTTCACATTCTTAAATATATACTCAAAAGCACGATTGCATAATACAATGGTTTTGTTTTTAATTGCCTGAAAAACCTCCCTAATGTTCACTGTAGTGACTGAAAAAATTATATTCCCATTAATAGTATAGTTCCATTTTTCTCTACAGCCTCACCAAACTTTTTTGTCTCATATAGATCTCATATGGCCATCCTAACAGATGAAAGGCAATCTCCTTTTGTGTTATGAGTTGCATTTCTCTGATGATTAGTGATGTTGAGCACCTTCTCTTGTTCCTGTGGCCATTCTTATATTTTCATTGGAGAAATATCTACTCAGTTCCCTTCCCATTTATTTTTTTAATTATTTTTTTCCATTTATTTTTATTAATAGGAGGCTAATTACTTTACAATATTGTAGTGGGTTTTGTCATACATTGACATGAATCAGCCATGGATTTACATGTGTTCCCCATCCCGATCCCCCCTCCCACCTCCCTCCCTATCCCATCCCTCTGGGTCTTCCCAGTGTACCAGCCCTGAGCACTTGTCTCATGCATCCAACCTGGGCTGGTGATCTGTTTCACCCTTGATAATATACATGTTTCGATGCTGTTCTCTCAAAACATCACACCCCGGTTCAATTTCTGGGTCAGGAAGATCCCCTGGAGAAGGGTTAGGCTTCCCACTCCAGTATTCTTGGGCTTCCCTTATGACTCAGCTGGTAAAGAATCCACCTGCAACCCAGGAGACCTGGGTTCGATCCCAGGGTCAGGAAGATCCCCTGGAGAAGGGAAAGCCTAACTATATTTATCAATGACATGCTAAACATGTTTTTATGGAAATTTTCAAACTTTACAAAATGACCCTAAAGTTCAGAGGATAAGGGAAATGTGAGAGAGGAGATGGAGAAGAGGAGAAAGTGCCCCAGAACTGAACATCTTAGATGGTGCAAAACATCACCTACTAAGTAGAAAGTTTTCAAGCTGTGTGAAACGAATCATTATGTTGACAGACTATTTTACCTCTTTAGGGAAAACAGACTTACGTCTTTGCCCATGACAAATGAAAATAAATTCTAGATGGATTAAAATATAAAGTGTTTTTGGACTTTCCTGGTGGCTCAGCTGGTAAAGAATCTGTCTGCAATGCGGGAAAGATCTGGGTTCGATTCCTGAGTTGGGAAGATCTGCTGGAGAAGGAAGGGAACAACTACCCACTCCAGTATTCTGGCCTGGAGAATTCCGTGGGCTACATTTCACGGGGTCACAAAGAGTCAGACATGACTTTCACTTTCATAAAGTGTTTTTAAAAGTTATTTTCAAAAAGTGGTTAAAGTGTATGAAATCACTTGAAGGAAATGAAATTTTTCAAAAGTAATATGGTAATAGAAATGCAAAAGCAAAAAATATTAAAATAGCACATTTATTTTAAAACACTCATAATTATAACAGTTGGAAAATTAAGATTTGGTTTTATTCTATGTAAAATTTCATTCCTTTAGATTATTTTTATAAACATGGCCTTGTTATTAAATTTAAATCTTTGAAACATTCTTCTTCAATCTTAAGATGTTAAGCAACAGAAACAAAATGATGTACAAGTAATCTTGCAAATAGAAAAATTGTATCTATACTTCAAATATTAATAAGTATATGTGTGGAGGAATTTATATTTTTAATTATTTTTTCTGAAATCTGTAATGTAATAAACCCTATTAATTCTGAAAAATATTGCATTATTTTAGAGAGAAATATGGTAAAATCTTCCCCTAATCTAATAAATTAACAGTGTTAACTATATAGCTTAACTCATCATATAGAACATAAATTTATAGTCTCAAAGAGACATTTTATATCCCAAAACTATATGTACTTCCCCCAAGAAATCATGGAAATCATAAAAATGCATTTCAAGCAAATATGTATTTTGAACTAGGAAATTTTGAAAATATTAAAGTATATTTTGATCATTCAAGTTATTCAATAAGAGATGTTTTTCATCATACCCAAGTTATTTAGCCTGAGAAGATACTACAGTTAAAAAATCACACGTTGTTTTCCTGAGAAGAGCAATTTTTCATTGAAAATAGGTGACATATTTCCCTACGGCCTCCTTTTCGTCTTCTGTTCCAGAGCTTTTTCATGGCATTTTGCATCTCTCCATTTCTCAGTGTATAGATCAGAGGGTTCAACATAGGGGTGACGATGGTGTAAAACACTGCCAAGGATTTGTCAATGGGTAAAGTGGAAGGAGGTCTCACATACAGAAAAATACAGGGCACGAAGAAGAGGGCCACCACAGTGATGTGGGAGCCACAGGTGGACAAGGCTTTGCGCCTCCCTTCCTGACTAAGATCCTTCAGGGAGCGCAGGATGACCCCGTAGGAGAGAAGCAAGAGTGTGAAGAGGACCACGCAGATGGCCCCATCATTAGCCAGCACCGTGAAGCCAATAATACGGATGTCAGTGCAGGCCAGTTTTAACAAGGGGTACATGTCACATCCGAAGTGGTCAATGACATTGGGACCACAGAAGGGAAGATTGTAAACAAAAAGAATATGAACAATAGCATGTAAAAACCCACCTGTCCAGGCTAACAGCAGTAACAGAACACATACCCGTTGGTTCATTAATGTCATATAATGCAAAGGTTTGCAGATGGCCACGTAGCGGTCATAGGCCATGACCACCAGTAGTAAAATCTCAGCACCACCAAATAAATGCTCTGTAAAAAGTTGGATCATGCATGCTTGGAATGAAATGATTTTTTTTGCACAGAATAAGTCTATAATCATATTTGGGGTGACTGTAGTAGAATAAACAGCATCCATAAATGATAAGTTGCCAAGAAAGAAGTACATGGGGATGTCAAGAGTTGGGCTGGACACCACAGTCAGGACAATGAGGAGATTGCCCACCATGGTCACGATGTAGATGAGCAAGAAGATGACAAATAGTATTTTCTGACCCTGGGGGCTCTGAGTGAGCTCCAAGAGGACAAACTCAGTTACATTGTTCCTTTGTTCCATAGGTCTTTCTGCATCTTTTATTTCAGAGTTCAGGACATTTCCTATCAATATAATTATTATGACTGTCCTGACATGTCATGATAATTTGTTCATTCATTCAACAAATGAGCAGTATGGTTCTTATACTTTCAGATATTATTAATATGATCAAGGCTTATTAAAACATCATCATTAATCTCAAAATCTTGCACACTAATAGAGAGGCAATTAATTAGAGACATTTGTGGGAAAAGGATAGATCATTAAATAAATGAGGTGTCACTATTAGCTTTCCATCTGGAAGCTAATTATTGTACATATAGCTAATATCTATTAAAATAAAAAATTGGTTAAAAGTTTAATAAAAATGTAAAGCAAGATTTACTTTATATTTACTATCCATTTCATAAAGGAGGTACACTTCTTCATTCTAGGGTTGAAAGAATATTCTTAACCAATCCTTGAAATCTCAAATAGGTTTATTTGACAATTTCATGTTTTTTAAGGATTTAGGAAATGATACCAAAACAGCAATAGATGAAATGTTCAAAGAAAGACTTACATATTGGATGATATAGAGAGTTATCATCTAATGAAGAAAAGACAAACATAAAAGTATGAAATGTAGAATAAGATATCAACAAAAAAATTAACATAAGACTGCTTCTAAATGGCCAACAAACATGATAGGATGCCTAAACCCACCTGTGAACAAAAAAATAGGACTTTAAGTCACAGTTTACTTATTACACTATTTGTTCGAATTCTTGAGGGTCACTCAGTCAAGGTCTATAGATGTTACCTCATCTTTTAATTAACACACAATGTTAGAGAACATACAAATTAAAACTATTGTCAGAGTTATATATCTCTACCCATGAAACTATCCCCAGATCATTACCTTTGAAATTAATTTCTAAGGATACTTTATCTTCAAGTAGGTAACTTTATTCCAAACCATTAGTAATGAAATTATTCAAAAGAAGTATTACAGAATAGAATCAATCTATTGAATCAACATATTTAATAATCACAAAGGAGTTCTACCATGCCTTATTATGAAATCCACAAAGGAAAACTCTAGAAGACTGAATTCTAACCCCATCCTGGGCTTCCTGAAGGCTCAGTGGGCAAAGAACCAGCCTTCTATGCAGGAACACAGGAGATGCGGGTTCAGTCTCCAGGTCAGGAAGATCCCTCTGAGGAGGAAATAGCAACCCACTCCAGTATCCTTGCCTAGAAAGTCCCATGGACAGAGGAGCCTGGTGGGCTACAATCCGAAGGGTCCCAAAGAGTTGGACATGACTGAGCAAGTAAGAAAGCTATTAGCCTCCAACTAATAAAAATAAATGAAAAAAGAAAAAAAGAAAGCTCACCTCACCAACATACTCTTACAACTGAAAGCCTCATTCAGAATTTTGTTTCTAAATATGCTTCTAAAATACTTGTTTCTAAATATGCTTCTAAAATATTTGTTTCTAAATATGCTACCTGTCTATGAAGAAAGCTGCTCAATCCATGTCTGGGCTCTGGTTCCTTCCTGCTTGTCCTTCACTCACTGATGCTGTCTGTCTGGTTAATGCAGAGGGAGATTCATGCAGCCTCACAGCACCTTGAACTGCTTCCTGTGGCCAATGCTTTACATGATTGCAGAAAATCAAAATCATCTTAGTTATTTTTTAAAAATTACTTTTCAAATTACTGAGATTTTCAAAATGAATATGAACGTCTGTTTCCTAAGGAACTCTGAATCTTGATTGTGAACAGAAACTCAGAATGTTCACTGTTGGCTGGATTTGTCCTGATAACAAACAAATATTAAATCAGTGTGTTAATCAGACAGAGAGAAAAAACTTCAAACTGTGTGTAAATTGTTTATAATAAAATATTTTGTTTGCACTTATAGCAGTCAAAGTGAAATAGTGAAATAGCTGTTGCAACATTTTGCTTCTTAATCACTTACTGTCCTGTCTTCACACAGTGTTGTTGAACTTGAGTGTTCCTGAAGGCTGAATAATTTTGTATACACACTTTATTATGCTCTGAGTCCATCATTTCAGTTCCAGAAGAAGCCGGGCATGTGATTACTGTTGTAGACAGATGCTCCGCAGGTCCTGGCAAATGGCTGTAGCACTTTGTCTACATTTAAGTGCAGCACATACAACTGAGTCATTCGATTCCTGTGTCTCCAAGTATGATTCTGTCTAATTAAATTCACTGGGACCTTAATCATAATTTTGAGGGTAGATCTCCAGAGATGGTACAAAAACAAACACTGTGTGGAACAAGACTTGTAAAATTCTGCCCTCTGGGAAAAAATCATGAAAAGCAAATTTAGGTCTTATCACCAAAAGAAAAAATCAAATCTGGACAGAAATGAAATATGTGAAAACTTTCTTGTGAAATTATGTTCTTCAAAACAAGCAAATCTTTTTTAAGTTTAAGCTTTATCTTTGAAGATGATATCTGAACCAATTTCCAATCATGAATGTTAATTTCAGAACAAGTCATTTAAACCGTATTTCAAATGCAGATAAAAGGTGTCACATAGTGTCAGATACACAATTGATAGAAACTGTTTTATCAATTTTAGTATCATACTAGGAAAAGAAAAAAGTATTTGTGGGACTGTTCCATTCATCTCAAAGTGCTCACAGGGCATCCACCCAAGTAGGAAATACCTAAGGCCATGACACAATTTGCAATATATTTCTAAGAACTTAAATCATAAAGCACATATGTACTTTAAACAGAAATTTATAACAAAAGTGTAATATTTTCCAATTATTTAGCCTAAAATCACTCATGACTATCTTCAAAAACATATTTTCAACACAAACATTATGATATACATGTATATAAAAACTATATGAAAAAAATATTTATAAAAGATATATATACATTAATATACATAAAAGACTATTTATAATACATTGCAATGTGTATAAATTAACTGGATGCAGCTAACTGTGTGATTAGAGAGAATTTTATAGATTTAAATGCAAATATTAGAAAACAATAGATACTTTAAAGAATGAACTAAGCTTCTATCTCAAAATGTTAAAAAAGAAAATTTAAAATAAACATAAAGAACATTGTAGTGTGGAAAGTGTTGAAAGACATACATCATTAAAAGAGCAATTCATATAAAGTAAAGAATACCAGGAATTGATCCTTTTGAACATTGAATAAATTATAATTTCTAGCCAAATGGACTAACGAAAAATAAGAGAAAAACCAAATTATCAGAATCAAGATTGAAAAGATGGCTATCATTGCAGGTTCCACAAATTTTAAAAAGACAACAAAATGATATGATAAAAGAATGTATGCAGTTAACTTGCCAAGAAAAGAAAACAGACCATTGCTATGAAAAACACAATGGTCTAAACACACATTGAGAAATAGTTTAAAACTGGGATAATCTAAGTGCAAATAAATTGAATGTTTAGAGTCCTAACATTCTCCTGCAAGATAGTTCATTCCCATCTAGTTTTAATCAATTAATTTTACATGACAACTAATCAAGAAATAACTTGTTACACAGCACTTTCATAGAAGTAATGAAACAATGTACTTCCTAATGCATTTTATGCACCCAGCATAACCCTTATACCAGCATGACTCAAGGGCATCAAGTGGAAATAATTAGATTAATAGCTCACATTAGCAAAGACACAAAATTTTGAGCAAAATACTTGTTTTGATTCCTCTGGGTGTTTTCTTTGAGGATTTTTTAAAAATATATTGCTGATACAAGTCTTGAAGCTGGTCCTGGGATATGCTCAGTCTAGTACTAGTCATGTCCCACAGCTAATGAAAATTTTTCTAAGTATTCAACCAACAGCACTGCCCCCACCCCTGTAAATATGAGGTTTTCCAGCTAATGAGAGTAGGCTCTCTTCCTGGCCTAGTCTGAGAACCAAGCACTTTTCTCTGTAATTCATCTGGGTAAATCTTTCCCCAGCACCAGGTATTTTGTTCAGATGCACACACAGATCACTTTGATGAATTCTTGAGATGGATCCTCTTAGTTTTGCATAATTTTCTCTCTCTCTCTCTCTCTCTCTTTCTCACACTCAGCCTCTCCAGGACTATAGATGTATTTTCTGCCTTAGTGTCCTTGAGTGTGAATTTCAGACTCTCAACTCAGAGGCAGTGTCAGGATCTTTGGAGATATCCCTCTCTGCCACAACGTGGAAACTTTTTCTCGTTGTTGTTGTTGTTCAGTGTCTCAGTCTTGTCCAACGCTTTGTGACCCCATGGACCGCAGCAGCCAGGCTTCCTTGTCCTTCACCATCTCCCAGAGCTTGATGAAACCCATGCCCATCGATGATGGTGATGCCATCCAACCATCTCATCCTCTGTTGCTTCCTTCTCCTCCTGCCCTCGATCTTTCCCAGCATCAAGGTCCTTTCCAATGAATTGGCTCTTCACATCAGGTGGCTAAAGTATTGGAGTTTCAGCTTCAACATCAGTCCTTCCAATGAATATTCAAGGTTGATTTCCTTTAGGATTGATTGGTTTGATCTCCTTGCTGTCCAAGGGACTTTCAAAAGTCTTCTCCAACACCATAGATTGAAAATATCTAATCTTTGCTGCTTAGCTTTCTTCATGGTCCAACTCACATTTGTACATGACTACTGGACAAACCATAGCTTTGACTCTACAGATCTTTGTCGGCAAATTTATGTCTCTGCTTTTTAATATGCTGTCTAGATTTGTCATAGTTTTCTTCCAAGGAGTAAGTGTCTTTTAATGTCATGACTGTGGTCACCATCTACAGTGATGGTCACCATCTGGAACCCAAGAAAATAAAGTCTGTCACAGTTTCCATTTTTTTCCCCCATCTATTTGCCATGTAGATGCTAAGTAACACCAAAAATAGAAGTATCAGCATCTGAGAATCCTGGGTAAGTCCCATTAGAAAGAATTCAGTCACATTCATTCTGTCTTCTTTCACTTCAATGCTGATGATGAACTCAGAAGTGGGGACTTTACCTAAACGTAGTTTCCTGACA